AAACAAGATCATGGAGCAAACATCTTATTTATGCATATTGAAATCAATCAGAGATCACACCATTAGGCATTTTATTAATTCTGGATACATATTCTTATCCCATGTTTATCTTCTCACATATCCAAAAGAGAAAGGGGAGAAAGAGATACAGAGGGGGGGAGGGGGGAGAGGGAGAGAGATACTGGGGAGGGAGGAGTAGATGAATAGGAGGAATGGAATTGGCTAGAGTATTCACAGACAAAGCTTTTGAAGAGTTTTGCTATAAGAGGAAGCAGAAAAATGCAAGAGGACACAGGTTAAGGAAGTGCAACAGTACTTATACTGTTCTACACTAATGGGAAGTTAGCGAGTGTGGCAAGGGAGACTGACATGTGTGTGTTTTGGTGATGAGGGCTTGTGGAAGTTATCCTCCGCTGTCTTTTCACAATGAAATAAGATGCATGGTTATCAGCGTCTGCATGGAAGATCTGACAAAAGAATCATAAGAGAAATAGGATTTTAAAACATTTCTCGTTAGTGCTAAGACGCAGTTAATATTCATAGTTTGAATTTTAAGTTGAGATTAGTCTGCATAACCGGTTTAGTTTCATGTGTGTGACTCTTCTTTTTTTTTGAGTTGGAGCCTCACTCCTTTGCTCTTTTTTTAAAAAACAGCGATAAGTGCAATAGGTTCAGGTATGCGATGGGCTGCAAGATGGATTTACACCAGGATTCGGGTCTTCCAACTGTCAAGTCAGCAAACGAGAGATAAGGAAATCAAAATTGTACGGAAGAAATCGATGATTGAAGGAGAAAAGTAAGAATCAAATGAGGGTCAGCAGAGGGAAAACGGGATGGGATCAATAATGTGTAGATGTCCATGAGTTTAAAGGACTCCTGATGTCAGAGTATTAAAGGAGTGAGAGAAAAATAGTGGTTGCCGGTCAGGGAATAGGATGAGTGTGGCATTTGAGAGAGTGCAGTCGTTAGTAGTAACAGATCAAGTGGCAGGTTGTTTGTAAAACAAGATCATGGAGCAAACATCTTATTTATGCATATTGAAATCAATCAGAGATCACACTATTAGGCATTTTATTAATTATGGATACATATTCTTATCTCATGCTTATCTTCTCACATATGCAATTCATTGCCCTATTTTTCCCACCAGAAATCTTTTCTATACAGTTTTCTCTGCCAATTGTATAATTTATCAATGCGTAATCTTGAAATGTTTCCTATGTCATCCTTTGTCATTTCACTTTTTTAAAGCACACGTTCCAACAGTCCTGCAACATAGATTATGTCTCAGAAAACCTTGCTTTTTTGTGTGTTTTTTCCTCCCACTGGGTCACTTTATGTTGTTAACGCCTGTCAGTTTGGTGATGGATTCATTCATTCTCTATAAAGCTTGATATGACTTTCTCTCCCTCCTCCTCCTCCTCCTTATTCTTTTAAAAAAATAGTCTAGCAATTATTCATCTAGCACGACTCTTCAAACTAAATCTGTCTAATAACAGACAAGGTATGATCTATGTTAATGCTATAGGGTTTCTCTAAACCTACTATAAATGTTATCTTAAAAAAAATTAAAACGTGTTGTCTTGAAGAAAACCCTAAATTTGGATTTAGAGGCAGGCAAGATTGTATATATTTCCTGCAAGCTTCCCAAACTGTTAACAGAAAAATTGGAGTATCTGGATTGACATATAGGGTGGACATAACTAAAAAATTATTCCTGATATGATGCTTATTATCTGAGTTCCAAATCAAGTTGTTTTCAAAAATATTTCCCTGTTGAAATCCTATGTTCCCTCAATAATTTTTTAAAGTAGGAAGAGGGTCAGGTGAAGGTGAGAAACTTTAAGAAAACTGATGTAGGTCCTTTTGTTGTTTTTGTTAAGAATGACCTACAGTAGAACCAAATTAGGCTCTACAACCACCCTGATACTCAACCTAGAAACAGACATGGCTGTCATTCTAAATAAAGAAGAGAAATTGATTCATACAGCAGGACCTCAATTCTATCGCTAGTTGTTAACTAACGTCTTCATCTGGCTCTCAAGTTGCATGCTCTCTCTTTTTCTCTCTCCAATTGATGCTGGCCATCTTTAAGTTGTATTGTAGGAAAATCATACTCAGGTGCAAAGAGATACTCATTTCAAATTACAGGACTTCAACAAAATAAATATGTTAGCTGCTAGTGGGCAAATGAACATATAATTAATTCAAGTACAGTTTTCTTTTCCCTTAAGCCCCATGAGGTACTTACCACAAGACCTCAACTAGCCAAAAAATAATAATAAGTCAACTGTAGTTTTGTTTGCAACTCAAAAAAAATTTCTAAGCAATTTTTATTCCATTGTGGCAAAGAACATCATAAACAACCAAGTATCCCGCTTATCTTCTGAAACAAGATGCACATTGGTATTCAGTGAACTCAACTCTGACACTCCAAACAATTTAGAAACACTTTCATTCTCTTAGCTGATGGCTTCCCTTGTGCTCCAGGCAATATATTCCTCACTGGTGGCAGGCAGAGGCATAACCATGACAGTCAACAGTTAAAATAGCAATAAAACAATCTTATCACAGGAGTTCAGTCTCCTGTCCAATAGTGTTGAGAGTATTTGATCTATAATTACTCATCTGGCACTCTGATACATGTCAAGTAAACCATGCACATATCATCGGGAATGTTCTCCTACCAGTACACTGTCTAAAAGAATGAACACACAGCAACAGAGAGCAGCAGCAATAGAGAACGGGACCCTACAGTACCTGGTGAATGAGGCGGAGGAGAGCACATCAGGACAACACCCTGGCCTTCCCTCACGGAGACAGCGCTTCTCGTCCGGCCACTAAAATTTCCCAGATCTGTCAACACAACACAGCATTTAGATGCAAGGCACAGCAAGGAATTTAAACAATTATTGCTATCAAAACTTGCACTTACTTTTCTATCATTATCTTGACACGGTTTATTTTTGTGTGTTAGTCAGTGGTAGAAGGGCCTTAAAAATAGATCTATACCATCCAATTTAAAATACTCCAATTTAAATAAATCCACACCATAGAGATGCCACATTATGTCTGTTTACCATACATACAGGTTGCCAGGATAGGAAGGAACTAGACAATACAGTATTTTAAACACACTGAATTGTCATTTTGTTTCTTTATAATATTTCCTACATATTGATCTTTCTTTCTTTTCTTTTTCTTTCTTTCTTTCTTTTTTTTTTTTTTTGAGTCAGAATCTCACTACATTTCCAGGCGGAAATGTAGTGACACATTCATGGCCACCCCAGCGTCAACCTGCTGGACTCCAGCGATCTTTCTGCCTCAGCCTTCCAAGAAGCCGCAACTATAGCCGTGTGTTACTATGCCCTGCTAAGTTTTTGATTTACTGTAGAGACAAGAACTCACCATGTTGCCCAGGCTGGTCTCGAGCCCATGGGCTCAGGCAATCCTTTCACCTTGGCCTCCCAAAGTGCTGGGATGACAGGCTTGAACCACCATGCCCAGCCAGATATTGATCTTTCCACCACAAATAGGGTGCATTTATTTCATTGTGAAAAGAGAAGTAGAAATGTTTGAGGGTGCCTGACGTCCAACCTACTGTCCTATCCTATGTCCTGTTAAGAATGCTGTGGAAAACCAGGTATGAATTTGCAAAATGAGAGAGATTGGATGCTTTAACAGCATATAGTAAGGACATAAAGTGCTCTCTGTCTATAAATGTGAATGAGAAAGCCATGTTACTTTCAGTTTATGAAAGACTAGAATGGACTTTACCCTTAATTACACTCATCTATTTTGATTAGCCCAGAAGTATTACAGCTCTCGAAACACTCACGTATATGTATAAGAAATTATAGCATTGGAATTCAATTGCTTTTCCTTAAATTATGTTGCATTTGCACAATTTGAAAAGATTTTACTTAAACTAAAGTGGCTCAAAAGGGAATGATGGGTCAGTTTATCTGTATTTCTATTATTGTATATTAATCTAATCATAACCTAGTACATATGCCCCTTTCTCTTTTCTTGAACAAGGTCGATCAATGAGATGATTTTTATAATAGTTTCTTGCAAATGGTAGGAGTTCGATGTTTTAAAAAATACACATTGTCCCAGAATTCTGGGTCTAAAAAATCATGTTTCCATGGTGAGAAATGCTTCTTGAAAATGTTCTGCCATTCCTTCCATTAGGCACAAATTGTAAAAGAGATTTTAAAAAATCTTTTAATTGTTTCATGCAAAAAGAGTATGTTTCCTAGCAATACAAGGTAGAGTCTAGCATTTAATGTTTATCCATCTGACAAACAATCAAGAATATATACGGGATGGATATGGATGAGATGAATCATTAGACTTCAATAGTTTTTCTTTTTTCTTTTTCTTTTTTGAATCGGGTCTCACTCTGTCATTCAGGCTGGAGTGCAATAGCACCATCATGGCTCACCGCAGCCTCAACCTCCTGGGTTCATGCCACAACACCCAGCTAAATTTTTTGTATTTTTTTGTTGTTGTTGTTGAGATGAGAATTCACTATGTTGCCCAGACTGGTCTTGAACTCCTGAACTCCTGATTCTTCCACCTTGGCCTCCCGATGTGTGGGACGGTAGGCCTGATCCACTGCGCCCAGCCTAGACTTTGATGTTCCAAGAGGAATCCTACACATTCGTGTCTGTTGACATGAATAGCAATTAACTTCTTACTTTGCTGAATTTATAACCAAATCTTTAAAAACATCTAAAATTAAGGAGGACTAATACACAGTGAATATATGATGCCAAATACTCAAAGCGGCATTCCTTATTGGAAAGCATAGTGGGGATTTTATCTATAATTCTAGGTTTCATTGTAGAGTAGTTAAGGTTCGCACAAAGTAGCAAGACAAAAGAAAAATAACAATTCCTGTTCTATTTTTTGATATGTTGTTATTTTAAATGCACACCCCCCCATATGTGTGTGTGTGTGTGTATACACACACACACACACACACACACACAAACACACACACACACACACACACACTAACTTCTAAGTCAAGTTTAATCATTTTCAGAGCTATGTACCCCCCAGGTTTCTTTCTTTCTTTCTTTCTTTCTTTCTTTCTTTCTTTCTTTCTTTCTTTCTTTCTTTCTTTCTTTCTTTCTTTCTTTTTCTTTCTTTCTTTCTCTCTTTTTCTCTCCTCCCTTTCTTCCTTCTTTCCTTCCATCTTTTCTTCCTTCCTTCCTTTCTCTATTTATTTAGAGTTGGAGTCTCACTCCGTCATCTAAGCTGAGTCGACCTGCTTGGCTCTGGCGATCCTTCTGCTGGACCCACAGGTGCGGGTTACCATGCAGGGCCAATTTTTTTTTATTGTAGAGATGAGGTCTCGCCCAGTTACCGTAAGCTCAGGCAATCTGCTCACCTCAGCCTCCTAAACTGCTAGGATTACAGGTGTGAGCTACCCTACCCAGCCGTTGACTTTTATTATCAAATATTATCTTGCCTCTTTTCAAACTTCATATGTATGAGAAAATACTGCATATATATTTTGTGCCTTAGAATCAAATACATGAGACACATGACTCCAAACTCATATCCTAGGAACAGAAGAAATTATCTTTTTTCCAAGATACGGTCTTCATGTGAAAACAGAGCATGGCAAGATTTCTCATTTGACTTCCTTTCACTCTACTCCTGAAACACAGTAGGAGACAGCGAGGCGTTGGTTGTGGTAGGATGTTAATATCCCTTCAGGGATTCTGTCGTTTTACTTTCTTCTTTTCATCTTTTTTGTATTGATAAACTCTGGAAAGCTACTTGGATATTAATTTATTTTAACTGAATTTCTTAAATGGTTGATAAAAAGTACATATTTATTTTAATACAATTACCTCAAGTCTATGTTATGCTCATTGTGACATTGCAAATCAACCCACTGTGTTTAAAAGACTATTTAAATAGACAACAGTCCTAAATTAATGCCTATTTCTGACCAATTGAAGTTCAGGTATGGCCTAGAAATTAGACATGAAAAGAAAAGAAAATTGTAGAATAATTATGACCCAAATTGTGTCTTGAGATCACAGTGACCCAAAAGATAACATTGTGCTGTAATTGCTTTATTTTGTACCAACTATTAATACAAGTACAATTGAACATGTCCTCATAGAATTGTCTCTGTGCCATTATTTCCTGGGGATTATAGCACCAGCAAGTAGAAGATAAATGACTTTTTTTTTTCAATTGTAAGTAGATCATTTTTTTCCTTCCTCAAAGATGTGTAGAGAAATACTAAAAAGAAGTCTGTACTTTCACGGAAAGTACACTTCTCATTTAACTCCTTTCTCCCAGGAAAAAAGGTGAAAAATTATTTTCTACCATGTAAAAGTGGTTTTTCTACTGGACAAGATTCTGGTTGATCTGAGGCAGAATGGTTAACGTGGAAAAATTCTTGGTTGGTGTGCATACGGTGCCCTGAGTGAAAAGTCTGAGTGGAAATACAATACAGCTGGCTCTTTGTCTGTCACTGAGAACAGAAAGCTCTTAGTTTCTTTGGAGATACGCATCAAGGAAAACTTGGAAATTTTTCAGTGGATGGACCATCAGGTGGGTGCTTACCATAGCATTTTAATATGTATTCATATGTTCTAGTTTTGGTTGTTAAGGGGGGGGGAAAGGGAGTAAACATAAAAATCCCAATACAAGGACTCTAAAATTCATGTTCAGAGTATAACTAAAATAAATCTCTTTCTAGACTTACTCTAAAGTACATGGATAAATAGACAAGTTTTAAACTAGAGGAGAAATTTTGCTGTCAAGAGGTAGATGGCCCCAGCCTTTGTCTTTGCTCTGACCCCTTTTTTCCTGAGTTAAGAAGCCCATGCAGAGTGTAATAGGGAACATTAACTAGAACTGCAGCCTACAGGATTACTGCACCTTTTCATCCTCAAAGAACCATGCAAATAAAAAGAGCTATCCGAGAAATTATGGGATCAGCTTTAGATGACAGCATGTAGATTCAGGAGGTGTGATTTCAGTCACATTGACCAGGTAGAAGACAAATACTTTTATCAAATTATTTAACAAGTATTCATCCAATGCTCACTGCACAGTGCATACTATACCAGGTACTGCTTATACAGAAAAACTGTAAAGGAAAGAAATAGATATACGAACAAACTAATCATACACACTTGGGTCAACTGGATATAGCTCAGAGTAAACTGGGTCACAGCTTCAGCTTGTCACAGCCGCACGCATGGGGGAACAATGCATACCACAAGTATGTACCATGGAGCACTTCACACCATCTCTCTAAAGGTGAGCCACAGACACAGGGACACATATACACAACCACACACACACACACACACACAGAAGCAATTTTTCTTTCCTTCCTTCCTTCCTTCCTTCCGTCCGTCCTTCTCCCCCTCCCTCCCCCTCTCCTTCCTGACTTCTTTCTGTTACTGTTTTCTTCCCTGCATCGTGCCAAAAAGGATCTGAGAAAACTTACAATATTTAGGGATATAATGCAAAAAGATAAAGCCATAGTTGAGGAATTCCAGTCGAAGGTAAAACGGGTATATATAACAAGACCCCTGCACAGCAAGATAAATATTTAGGAATAGATGTTATAAACTTCATAAATTACGACAAGTTGGTCATGAATTTGTCTCTAAACTTAAGAGGGACTAAAACAAGGTGGAGATATCCACTGTCTTAGGCTTCATTGTTATTGTGAGATGAAAATTTTACCGCAACTCAGGAGAAGTTCCCTGTTCTGAGATCTAAGAGAGATTTCTCCTTTAAGACTTCATAAAGATATCACTTGATGGCAGAGTGGGCTGAACACACTTTCAAACCAATTAGGGAGGTTT